ATTATCACACTTCTTTCCTACTGCCCATGCAGGTTGTTGAACTCTTGAATGCCCTTGACCTTCTCTGCCACTCAATACTCTAGCACTCGATGCTTTTGCTGCTTCTCCAACCCCCTGTCATTCTTGTGGAAAAAGGTTGACCATGGTCGTTATCTAGACCATGGTCGGGTGCTCGCCCAGTTGAAACGTGTTTTTTTTACCGTGTCTATTTCTCGGATCCTTCCCAGTTTTTCCTTTCCTGAGTTTCCTCCCGTCTTGAGTGAATGCGTTGCCGGGCAGACTACCATGCATACTTCGGTCAACGTGATCTAAGACTTTCTGAACTGAAGCTGCCGCAATTCTGTCCCAATTCGTTGAACGCTGCCGTAATTATGTTCCAGTTCATCAAATGCTGCCAAAATTCTGGTCCAATTCGTCGAATGCTGCCATAATTCTGTCCCAATGTGTCTTAGAGAGTCTAGTATATGTTTACTTGTGGCCATACCTAATCCTGTGCATTACAGTGAAGTATTGGACAACCGTTTCCTCTTCCGCGGGTCATGTTTTTCCTCTTTGTTTCCATGTGTTTGTTTGCCGAGCTTAACGAGTGTGTGTGTGTGTGTGTGTGTGTGTGTGTGTGTGTGTGTGTGTGTGTGTGTGCACTCATGGGCATGTCGTGGCGCAAAACTGCACCACAGAGCTCTGAAAAGGAATTTCGGCACACCCCAAGATGGGAGTAGGCCACATGAATCACATAAGCCTACTATCAGCAATAAAATGGAGCAGCTGCTCTGAGCAACGACAACTATGCTCCCGATGCAGTATATGGATCATACTTGCAACCACGCGAGCCGCACGGCGGTTGGTACTCCGCGAAACGCACGGAACCTGCCCGTGCGCCCCACAGCAGCAATTTCTGTTTTGTTTTGTTTTGTTTTGTTTTGTTTTTCCTATTTTCATAGATGCATAAGGATGTGCTACCTTAGGAAGAGATCCTGTTGAGCATCAGAAATAGCCTAGCCTCAGAAATAGCCTCAAATAGGTCTCTGGGACACCAGGCTTGATCGTTAAGTAGCGACACACGGAACCTGCCTGTGCACCCCACCGCTGGTCCGCTGGGTTTTTCTTCCATGCTCAGGTGTTGTACGTGCCCGTGCACTCGTGCGCCGTAGGTGCACAATTGCCTGCACAGCATGTGCTTGCATGTATGATACGGATGGAGCAGATCACACACAAGGAGTGAAAAGGCAAAAACAGACTGAACAACCGTAAGGCAGCAAGGCAAAGCAGCAGGTAAGAAAAAGGAAGCAAGATGCAAGGCAGCTAGGCAAAAGGTGGCCAAGCAGAAAGCAGCAAGGCACAAAGCTGCAAGTCAAAACGCAGCAAGCCAAAAGAGACCGGCGAGCCAAAAGACAACAAGGCATTGGCAGCGAATCAAATAAGTGGCAAGGGAAAAGGCAACTGCGCGAGCCGCACAGCGGTGCAGTATTCCATGCAACGCACGGAACCTGCCCGTGCGCCCCACCCTCGGAAAAGCCTCCCAACCTCCCTACCCCCCTTGTTGATAATCGTTTTGCTGTCTTTGCTTGGTTGGCTATGCTTTCGACAAAACGGCCATGTCGTCACTCTTGCAAAAAAACAGGAAATGGGTTTACCCTGCTGCATCGAGAATCGGCTCCGCTGCTTGCTTTCTGCTCACAAGTGGGCCGACCATTATGTCAGAGCTGCGCAAGTATGACGTGTCGTACTCTCGCTGATCGCGCCTTATCGAGTGCGGAAAATAAATGTTTCCATAGCTTCTTTCTTGTGCTGTTGTGGGGTTGGAGAATTTTTGCGCGATCGTCCCACGGGGGAATCTTTTTGAATTTTCAACTGATGTCGAGCCCACGCGGGTTCTCGAAATTTGTTTTCTCAAATTTCTTTTCGCAATTAGAACTTAAATTAGGCTAGGAATTTGGGTGCATCGTAATTTTGCCAGCAACAGCACGATGCTTCTTGCTTGCACGCGCTTTGCCCCACCAGGGTCTGTGCTCTGCCTTCTCCGCGCCTTAATCTCGCACGTAACTGTAATTCTCTTCTTGGCACAACGCAAATGTAGCTGTAATCTTCTCCTTCTTGATATCTTCGTCACGCCCCTGCGTGGGCATATTTTCCTTGATCTCATTGGCCTGAACGATGCATGACTGGATCGATGTGTGGAGAGTGGCTACGTCCCCCACGCCGCGGCCCGACCATGCAGCCGTAGGCACTTCCTTCCTTCTTCTTCCCTCCCACTCAGGCACAATCCCAGGTATCTCGCGCAGACGCTCATGCTATAATTTTGCAGGCGCGATTAACTCGCTCTCTAATCAACTTTGGAGTAAGCACGGTCGAGAGGATCGGCTAACGGTCAGGAGCAAGACGGTGAAAAGGGAGTTGGGCGATCCGACGGGCTGCTGCTGGGTATGTGGGGTTGACGTGTGGTTGCCACGGACTATGGCGCACAGGTGAGCCTGACTTGCATGTTCAGACTAAGTGGGGTGACAACTTTGTGTGAGTAGTGGGTGCGAGGCGACGGACTGCCCGCATCGAGGTGGCGGAGAGAGAGAGAGAGAGAGAGAGAGAGAGAGAGAGAGAGAGAGAGAGAGAGAGAGAGAGAGAGAGAAGGGAAGAGGATGAGAGGTGTTGGGATGGTGTTTTTCTCCTCCTCTGAACAATTTCGATGTCTAGTGCATTGCCAAGCCCTCTGTTTGTTTCATGGTTGTCTTGTTTTTTTTTTTTCTCTTCTATGAGTCGACGAATGGTCTGATCTATCCCTCCCCCACCCCTTCCTCCTTTTACGCATTTGTCGACTCGATCAATTGATTGCCTACATTTAATCCATGTATGATCTTTGGACAGTTCCCCGAAATGGCATAATATGAGTAATTGGATGTTTGGATGCATGAATGCTTATTGTTTCCTCGCCTTTTCCCTGTGATATGGATGAGCATGCCGGTTGATCAGATGTCTGTTTTCACACTAAGCCTACCAGCGATTGCTCTGTGCTGACGGGTCGATGTATATGTGTTCAAAGCTGCAAAAATTCCCAGACTGATCGGAGGAAGATATCGTACACGCACGTATACGCCCGGCCAAAGGAGGTCAGTGCGTGCACCCGTGTCTACACGATCTGCCCCCGACCAGACTACCTGTTGAGCACCAAGAATGTATGGATTCCCCCCCCACTCGGCAGCATGAATATCGAGACTCCCTTCCGGATCACTGATCGCGAGTGTCTGAGAGATCGTGAGTTCCGAGAGTATTGGGAACGCGCATGTTTTTCTGCACGCTTGAGGACCGAGCTCCCAGAGTTTTCGTACCCAACAGGAACCGAGCGCATCTGCGCATCTGCGAATGGGATATTGGGCGGGCCTTGGAATGTATTCCCCATTTCCCCGACTGTCCAGGCCGTACACGTGTCAGATCATCATTGAACCCGGTATTGTTATCCTTGAAACAGAGTTCCCTCCCTATCACCGTCTATTGCCCTTCCACTGCCCGACCATTGCGCCCTGGCGAGCACTCGTTGCCTACTGGCCACAACCCCTGTGACGAACTATTTTCTGTGATTGCGCGACTTTCTGCGCGAAGCTAGTTAGGGGAATGCGACAGGTCGAAGGGGTGAGTTGTGGAAAGATGGGTCGGGCGGGCTAGTTGCATGGATGACCTCGTTTCTTTTTGTTTTCTATTGGAAACTGTCGGATCGGTGTCGGGAAAATCCCGTACCAACGGTTGGGTGGTCGCGCCATGACGGACGCAAGAAATAACTGTACCATAACTTCTTTCTT